ACAGCAACAATGAAAACCTCTGAGCGCAGGAAATCCTAGGGGAAGCCTCCAGGCTGTCTGGCCAATCCAGTGTGACAACACCCCCTTGGCAGCTATGCCACGGAGTCGTCCACACGCACCTCCACCAAGTAAAACCGAGTGCCGAGTCACTGGTGCCCACCTCCTCTTCGCAGCCCTGCTCAGCTGGTCGTGGAAATTCCACATTCCTATTCCAGGGGGCAAGTCTCTCTGTAGGACAACCGCTGACTTAAAACTTTCGTGACTGCAGGAATTCATATTCTTGGTTCTTTCGGTAAAGTCACGTAGATAAAAAAAAATAGAGATGTTATTACATTAAATAAGTTATATTCATTTAATTCATTAAAATTAATTTGATATATGTTTAAAAGTGATTAAACATTTAATTACTTGAATAAAAAAAAAATTTCTATCTCCGTGACTTTACCGAAAGGACCAAGAATAGGGCAACAGCTGTTGGCCACAATAAAATGGTCCTTGTTGTATCCACCCCAGTGGGATGATGGGGCCGAGTCGACCCCCAAACCGGCATTGAACCTTCCCGATTGCGATCCACATCACCGTCATTATCGTCGTCGTCACCAACATTCACAATGATCCAGCTCAGTGCGTTAACCACTGCGCCACCGGCCCCCCCACTGAGATTTTTGCACACAGTGTTGGTGTACGGTGCTTTTTCTGCAATATTTTGCTGTCTTTTCTTGGATTTTCTGTTTGCACATAGTCACTTTAAGATGTTTTCTTGTTCATGTTTTTTGTTTGTTGCGGTTGCACTCGATTCAAGAGCCGAATGGCTCACAGGGCTATACCTAATAAATGAAACTTGAAAAAAACTTGAAAACTTGAATTCCCTCTTCCGTTGTATGTTTCCCCCAGGCTACATCAAGAATATTACTGGTAGGAACCTCCTGGTTACACCAGCCCACAGGGGATTATTGTGTCCGTCCGTCCATCGTGAATCCAAAAATGGGAGGGGTGGGGAGGGGAGGGTGGGGAGGGGCTGGATGGGGAGGGTGGGGAGGGGCTGGGTGTGGAAGGTGGGGAGGGGCTGGGTGGGGATGGGGGGGGCTGGGTGGGGATGGTGAGGCTGGGTGGGAGGGGTGGGGCTGGGTGGGGAGGGGCTGGTCACCCCGTGGTGCCCTTATAAAACTCAACGTTTCACCTACTCACGCCGGCTTGTGCCCGCCCTCACAGTCGGGCATATTTGCGGAATACACCACGCCGCCGTTGACCCTGGCCATTGACCGAGCAACCCAACGTTCCTACCAGCTCCCTCCGCAGGAATGTGTCCTTGCTCATTTCAATAAACGTGTTACACGCCCTTACACGCGACACCTTTCATAGGTGCTGTCGGTTGCTGGCCGCTTGGTGTTGTGGCTCTCTGAGCCATGCGACCCTGAAACCGCGCAACGAGTTGCACTGGATTGCGGATGCTGAACGAATTGCATTTTAAAGGTCGCACTCATCACACACGCAAAGCGCTTGCCACAGATGAACCACGATACCCTCGCTGTGCTCAATGGGCATGAACCACCACGCCAACTCTGCTCGTCATCAGCAGAAGCAGCGGCGGCTTTTGGCTGCTGCCATCAAACAGTGGCGCTTTCGGATGCGCTTCTGCGGCCGTCTGGAACGCTCTTGCTTCCGATATGAGAAAGTCGCTGGGAGCTATGCACTTTTAACTCATCGTCCGGATTGAAAACGAATTTCTTTAAAACGTGTTTGTGTGTGTGTATGTTGTCCTCCCCCCGCACCTCCGCTTAGCACGCTTGGCCACGTACGGTACGAAAGAAGTTCAACACAGTACACACGCAAACGAGAAATAATACGGCGAGGGTCTGCCCAGCAAACACGCTGCCGTTCGTCGCGGGCCGTACGCGGCCCCAAGACTTCTTCAATTCCACGCGACCCGCCGAAGTGCATCATTGCAGCAGGTTTCGATATTCAGGGTCTAGTCAGCAGAGTCAGGCTCGCTTTGAATCGACGCCGGTGACCTGCCGGATGTTTATTTGGCAAAGGGGGCCTCTCCTCCTCTCTCATTTCAAGATAAGGCTCCAACGCTTCATGCGGATCCTCTGCAGAGTTTGTGTGTGTGTGTGGTTTTTATGGCCGCCCGCTGGATGGGAGAATTATCGGGGGGCAGCCGCCTCGAAACCTCACACCCACCGGGGCCCCCACGCACTCCCAGAGCGGAGTGATGACTGGCTGAGACCGGCGCAGACAAAACCCAACAACAGCGGAGAGAGAGAGGGGGGTGATGGTGGTGGAGGCGTCACCAGAGAACAATAACAAAAAACTACAAAAAAACTCCCCCAAAAAACCCCTTTTTGTAAGAATAGGTTTAACCCTTTCTGGCAATAAAACAGTTGTTTTATTATGTTTTATTTTTATTATTTTATTACTTCCCTTCTACGTGACTTTACCGAAAGAAACAAGAAGATGAATCCCTGCAGTCACGAAAGCTTTAAATCGAAAAATAAAACAGTTGTGTTAAGATGTTGAAACACCCAACTGAAACCTTTTTTGCAAGGAGGCATGTCTGCATTAACCACAGATACTTGTGGTGAACATGCAAACACAACAAAAACACATGCTCTGGTTGTACATGATGCATTGTATTTGAAACTGATTGGTCCACACCAGAGACAGCTTTCTTTAGAGCCTAGTCTCAAACAGTGTTAGACCAGAGGACATCGCCAAAAGGCAAGGACAATGCCACTATTGGTACCTCATTTGCCAGTAAACAATATGATAATTGGTTGATAACAATGCCACTGTTAGGACATTAAGAGCTCGAGGCGAGCACCTATATCATGGGACCTCCCTTGCCAGTATCAAAATATAACAATAGGTTCTACCATTTCTGGCAACAAAGAGTTGTGTTAAATTTCGATTTAAAGCTTTCGTGACTGCAGGGATTCATCGTCTTGGTTCTTTCGGTAAAGTCACGTAGAAGGGGAATAATAAAATAATAAAAATAAAACATAATAAAATAATTCTCACGACGTTTCGGCCACAACGCAAGCAAAAAAGTGTCCCTCCATCAGCCTAGGCGTACGTCAACGATCGGCATTGGTTTAGTTCGAAAAACTGGACCGAGTCTGTACGCACGTGGAACTGTTTTCGCACCGTGCGTAGCCCACCGTGCTAATCGGAGGTGCAGGCGTGCATGCAAAACACTGCCGGGTCACTGGATGGTATTGGCACGAGCTCTCTCTCTGGCTAACTTGCACCTAAAAGATCAGGAAGCGACATATACATACATGCAAGCGTTTTTTGTTTGATAATTGTTTTTTTACCCTTTCATCTGGCAACAAAACTGACACCTTTTTTTACAAGGAGTCATGCTTACCCCGAGCTCTCATACTCTGATGGTACATTGTCTTTGAGTTGTGCGCCTTTTGGCGTCATCTGGTCCAACACCATGTGAGACTAGGCTCTAAGGAAAGCTGTCTCGGGTGTGGACCAATCAATTTCAAGGACAATGCGTACATTATCAGAGTTATGTTTTTTGTTTGCATTCCGACTGCAGGTATTGTGGTTAATGCAAACATGACTCCTTGTAAAATAAGGTGTCAGTTTTGTTGCCAGATAAAAGGGTAAAAAACCAATTATCATATTTTGCTACTGGCAAATGAGGTTCCAATGCGTTTTTTGTTTGTTACAATAACCACCACCTGACAGCGAATTCAATAAAATATGGCAACTACTTCGTTTTTGGAACCAACCAGATTGTTGAAGAGCTACGCCTCTGACAATTTAGTTCCGACGTTTCGCGAGAGATTACAACCGGCATCACCGGGTGTTAACAAGAGCTCAGTTCTCGCGAGACTGCAAGCACAAATTTGCATTGGGATTAGATGGGACACTGCTGTGGCAAAATGTTAACTCCCTCATACTCTTAGGTTTTTTCGGTAAAGTCACGTAGGTAAAAAATAATAAAAGAATAATAAATGAAAAATAACAAAATTTCATTTATTTTTTAGCAATTTTTTTATTTCTTTATTTTTTTCTCCTACGTGACTTTACCTAAAAAACCTAAGAGTATGAATCCTTGCAGTCACGAAAGCTTCAAATCTGTTAACTCCCTCGCCTGGTGTGCAGGAGGTAGGTACAATCCCGACCCCGACGCCTGTATATTTGGAGTTTGCCGTGTTCCCCCCCGTAGACACGTCGATTTTTCTCCAGGTTCTTCGGTTTTCCCCTCCACAACTTAGAAACACGAATATTTGTCCTGCTATAAATGTCCACACGAGAGCCACTTTGTTGAGATATCACGTGACCAGGTCGCTTCTGAAAAAGAGCCATACAGCTCAGAGGGCCTTACCTCGTAAAATAAAGTTTAGTTTTAAATAGTTAAAGTTTATAACAATGTTAATAAACAGCTCGTGTACAGGTGCTGGGTGGATTGTGACATCGTGGGAGGTATGCAGTGGGTTGGGGAGGCTTTCTTACAGCAGTGGATTGACCACGACCGACGACGGTGACCTGGGCCAGAGGTCGCAAACGGGTTTTGATTCCTTACCCATACCCGGCCGCATCAGGGTCACAAACGGGTACCCGTACCCTACCCGTACCCAGCTTCCCGTACCCGGCCGGGTATCGGGTAGGGTACGGGTACCCGATTGCGACCTCTGGGATGAACCCATGTTGCAGGCGCGGGTGGGTTGATTCTAGGAACTTGAATTGTGAGGAGACAAGACGTTGGAAAATGAGTGACAAACGGTTACTCACCAGTGACTCACGGCGTACCCGTACCCGGCCGCACCAGGGTCGCAAACGGGTACCCGTACCCGGCCGGGTACGGGTAGCCGGGTATCGGGTACCCGGTTGCGACCTCTGACCTGGGCTCTCCGCAAGTCACCGTATTCGTTGACGCGTGATGCGAGGGTATTCATCCGAGCTCCTCCACGCGGCTGAACGCACCGCGAGGCAGTGAAGGAACCCGCCGCCGCCGCAGCAGCAGCAGCAACAGCAACGCGCAAGGTTTTAAGTGTCACAATTTTATTACAGTATAAAGCGCAAAGTGTTCTCGTGTTTTTCTTTTTAAAATAGAAATCTCATCAAAAGTCAAACTTAATTCATCTATACAACACTTACTCTCGCTTGCACGTTACGCTTAAGAGCTTGTGACCGAATACAAATTCAACAGGAACTTTTTCACTCTGCTAAAACCTACCCGCCCCTCCCCGCGTTAGGCAGTCTTTTTCGTTGTTACAATTTTTTTTTAAGGCTCGAAAACTTCTCTTGTTGCCGAGTGCCAACGCTCAAATTCTGCCGATCGTTCCCCCTGGCTAAAAGGTGCATCCCTGCAACGTCTTCGCTCGCCCCACGCCCCACTGCTGGTGGAAGGGCCTCCTCCCCGCCCCGCTCGAGGAATCTCGAGAGGGCCCCCCCCTGGAGGGTTAATTTGGGCCGAGTCTTGCACGCCGAGACAGACGCCTTGGAAGAGGTGGTAGAGGCCACACTTTACCCCGCCGCATCGACCGCCGCGTAGCGATTAACACCGCCGGGCGGACAGCGGCGGTGGGTGGAAAAGTGGATTTGAGAAACTTTGCCCCCCATTGCTTCGACTGCTACGCCAGGAGATGGAACCGGCGCCCCCCCCCCCCGCCTACCCACCCACCCCCCGCCGGAAGACGGAAAAACCGTCTCACCGTGAACGGCAGCGTCTCCTTTTCATGTCACTCCTTTAAAATAAATGCACGTATCATTTTCTCGTCTCGTTAAACAGCTTTCTCGGTGATTATTTGTGACGCGGTGCCGCGACAGACACTCGACAGAGAAAACACCAAAAGTAGCTGCCAAAACAACAACAATAATGATGATGCAAATCTTTTTCACCGACTCTCCTTCAACAACGAAAACAAACGTCTGGCCCGGGGACTCTGCCACCAGTTGGAAACAGCGAACATATCGACCACGACGACGTGTACTCACAGACTCGACAGCTTCTGATCAATCTACGAAGATCGACGACAGGGCCTAACAAGTTTGTGCCGAAATAGAAACGGTGACGCCGAATTGACGAATGTCGCCGGTGGTGAGAGACCTGCGGCCAGACTCGCGTAGGCCCGGGGCTGCCGGGGGTTGCGTCGTTACTCTGCACGACCGCGAGCGGCAGGCGGTGGCTTGGGGAAGCGATCGTCCGGCGTTGGACCGACCACGGCCGATGCCGACGACGATGACATTCAACAAGAGCTAACGATGTCCGAAACGTCGTGAGGGAGACCTGCGAGCGAGGTGACTGTAGAGCTTACGAATTACATTGTGGGGGTGGATTCCTGACATCGAGTCGACGGGGGCGGCCGTAGCGTGGCGCTAGCCGAGGTTCTGCGCAAGAAACGAGGCGGCCGAGCAAGACTCGTCGCCGGGACTTGGCGCGCCATAAACAATCGTCGCGGCGATTCTCACAGCGGCACAAACTTCCATTCTGCCCTCACGGAACCCTCGCCGACCAGAGATCGCTCTCCCCCGCTGACGCAGAGTTCCCTCAACAACAACAACAAAACACTAAACGTGTAAAATTGTCAGAAATCTCCCCGTCCCTTTCAAATGTACTTTTATGACAAATCCTTTATTTCCCATGACCAACCCCGACACCCCCCCCCTCCCCCCCCAACAAAAGACAAATGCCTCTAGGCTACCGGCTCGCACGAGCCGTCTACCAAAAACAAACAAATCTACAGTGCGGTGCGGCGCGCGCGCGGCGCGGCCGGCGAGCGATGGCGGCGGCGGCGGCGGCTAGCTGTACACCGCCATGACGTTCACAAAGTGCTCCGCCCCGCGCAGGTGCACCGGCCTCTGCTGGTGCGACGCCGACCCCGCCGACGCCGCCGCCGCCGCCACCTCCTCCTTGCACTTGGTGGGAGGGTGACCGCCACGGGCCGCTTGCCGCGTAGAAGCCGCCACTCCCGTTCCCGCTCCTGAGCCGCCGCCGCCACCGCCTCCGGCGCCGGCCGCGCCGGCCGCACGCGTCGAGCCGGCCGATTTTGCCGACGCGGCGGCGCACCGAGCCTGCGTGCCGGGCACGCCCTTCGCCCCGCGAGCCTTCGTCGGGCCCTTGTACGGCGGCGCCGACGTCCCTTCCGACGGGGCGCCGGCGGTCGTGGCGGCGCGGCCGTCGTAGAGAACGCAGATGGAGCCGTCCTCGCCGATGCGGTAGGAGACCTCGTAGGGGTCGACCCAGAGCGTGAGCTCCCGCGGCAGCAGCCGGAAGAGGCTGGGGGCGCTCAGTCCGATGGAGAGCGCCGCGCGGCTCACCAGGGGGTCCATCTTGTGGTTGATGCGGATGCAGCGGTAGGCCGAGCCCTTGCACGGGCGCTCGGGGAACCAGTGCTGCTGGTAGTGCTCTGAAAGGAGAGTGGGGCGGGGGGGTGCACACATCGCCACGGACGCTTAGACAGGGATCGCACAAGTCCACGGGGCCCCTCCGGTTGTGTGTCTCGTTGTGGTCCTGGCGGTCTACGTGTCTCTAACTGTACAGGACACTGCCTATATCAATGATTATCCTGCAGAGCGCTGTTGGGGAAAAGATCACCTTAAGGCATTTCACAGAAGTGAATTCATAAAAATTAAAAAGAAACTGCAAATGGATGTATTTGTTTATCTATCTTACTGCATGGCTGTCCCAGATTTTAAGATTCAAAAGAAATATCTGAACATGTGGACGACATACAAAATATCGGACAATCTGAAGGAACCCATTAGTTTTGTATTATTCTGAAGGTGCGCGACACCACAGGAGATGACATTACGTACTATGTCATTTCCACGCTGTTCACGGACACGGATAAAACCTCAAACTCATCCCCATTCTAGAGATGTGTGTAAAGGTCAGATAGGTGAACACTGATAGAACATAATAGCAATAATTACACCGTCATCAAAATCGGTGACGCATGGGGAAAAACGCTCAAGTGTGCTGGACAAATGGGCGAATGCACAAAAAAGTAAGTTCAGCAATGAAGCAATCTGAAAATCTGAACTAAAATAACTATCACAGGAGCAATCTTCAACACTGCAAACATAAATCAATGCTATGTAATAAGCTAAATGTAAAAATTCCCTGCGGCGCAAGTCGGCTTGGCCAGATTATTTTTAGACCGATCTCAGAAGGTTAAGTTACAGAAACATTAAACATTCAACAGATATAGGGCAATTCCAGTGCTAACAAGTAAACAGACAAAGATGTGTGTCAAACAACCGCAGTCGTGACCAAGTTGGGCCTGGGAACATCAAATGGCGGTTTGCGCCGTAGATCCACATGCACTGGATGGGTGTTGGCGGCGGGTAATCGGTCAGGGCGGATATGACGCGGTCGGATATGCGACGTTCTTCTGCACTGCCAAATGTTGTCTTCCGTGGAATTTTTGGGCCAAAAGTTGTTCACCAACGCCCAGGCGCAACGCCAAGCCGCCACCGCCACCACCGCCACCACCGCAGCTGCCACGGTGCATTCAGGCTGTTGTGTCAATCTCACCTGACATCTGCTCATCATCATTATTATTATTACTCTCGAACGTTTTTACAACGGAAAGCCCCGCTGGAGTCTCTCTTTCTAAGAGGGACCTGCCGAGTTTTCACGTCAGGGAGTGATGATTTCTGCTGTGTGTAATCCCAAGCGAGTGATTTGCAAGAGATGTTAACTACCTCGCCTGGTATACAAGAGGTCGTGGGTTCGATCTCGACCCCGATGCCTGCGTATTTCGAGTTTGCGTGTTCTCCCCGTGGTCGTGTGGATTTTTCCCCGGGTTTTTCCCTCCACATTTAGAATCAAACATGCGTTTTAGAGTATTTGGCTGCTATCAATTTCCAAGTGATAAGCCAATTCGTTGAGCTATCATTTGTGAAGGCCAGGTCGCTTCTGAAAAAGAGCCATGTAGCTCATTGGATCTTAACTGGTAAAATAAAAAGTTGAAAAAGGATTCTGTAACCAATTGAGACAGCCGTTTGAAATGCATGAACAACACAACTCGCATTCTCCACAACGATGCTAATGATTATGCCGTGTTGCACAGCTTTGTGTCACCAACTAGGACCCATGTCAAACAAAGGGTCCTCGCCAGTTAACATCTGTTCACCAGCATTAGTTCAAGCGGGCCTGACTACTGATGAGACAGCGAATGTCAAAGCCGATTGAGAATTTGCTCGTGTTGAACCTGTGTGTCTGGAATGATGCACTCCTAGGCCGTGTGGCTAATGGGATGTGTAAAATACTTAAACTGGTAGGAACCTCCTGGTTACACCAGCCCACAGGGGATTATCCCGTCCGTCCGTCGTGCATCAAAAAATGGGAGGGGTGGGGCTGGGTGGAGAGGGGAGGGGGTGGGGCTGGGTGGGGAGGGTGGGGCTGGGTAGGGAGGGTGGGGAGGAGCTGGGTGGGGAGGGTGGGGCTGTGTGGGGAGGGTGGGGCTGGGTGGGGGGTGGGAAGGGTGGGGCTGGGTGGGTAGGGGCTGGTCACCCCGTGGTGCCCTTATAGAACTCAACGTTTAACCTACTCACGCCGGCTTGTGCCCGCCCTCAGTCGGCCATATTTGCGGAATACACCACGCCGCCGTTGACCCTGGTCATTGACCGAGCAACCCAACGTTCCTACCAGCTCCCTCCGCAAGAATGTGTTATATTTGATGGAGGGACTGGTTTTAAATATTGTCATGAACATCTATTTTTACTATTACGATGTTATTAATAACTTATTCATTACAATATTTCACCTGCAGCCTCCCTTGGGATGGAACAACCCCATACGCACGTGCCGACGGACACGTGCGTAACACACGGGCATTGCAAACCTCTACAAACCTCTACGACACTGATGTTAGTTATTACCACTCGTGAAAGCGAGAGAGCGCGGTGAGGTGCGGTGTCACGCCGTCTATTCAATACCACCGAGATTCATGAAGTCAGGAACCCGGTGAGAACCGGTTCACATTATTCCTCCATCAGGGTCAAGTTGACGTTGTGTAAACCAGCTAACGACAACGAGTCGTCATCTGCCTCTAGGGGTATCTAACCACCTGCCCGGTTTTCACGCACAGACAGTCTGCACCTGCGTGCGGGCTGGCAGGGATTGAATTTGGCCTGGATCTGTTAACGGTATTGCTGTGTTGAAACGCTATGAGAGTGATTAGGCCTAGGCCGCCTTGGGAAATATGTCCGGGTTTGGTCTGTCATACTCTTAGTTCTTTCGGTAAAGTCACGTAGGTAAAAAATTAAATTAAAATTAATAAAAAATAAAACAATGCATCAAGTGCAGCAAATCTGGCTGTGACGGTCCCACCTGATGACGGAGACTTGTGTTGCCTCCGAAACGTCGTGATTTTATTGTTTTATTTTTATTAATTTTAATTTCATTTTTTACCTACGTGAATTTACCGAAAGAACTAAGAGTATGAATCCTTGCAGTCACGAAAGCTTCAAATCTAGAATTGGTCTGTCATCTTACATATGGAGAGGACTGTGGAGCTTTGGAAAATGTTGGCGTCAGCGCACCGCCACGCTGCGTCCTCCCGGCTCGTCTGTGGGCTGTTCGGCGGCTTGCGCGATGCAAGTTCGCACGAACGAGGACGCCGTCGTTTTATAAAATAACAAATACAAATAAAAACCGCAACCACGCGGCGGCATTGACAAGGTGGCGACCCAGGGTGGGTCACCAGCGTGACCTAAAGCAATCGACTAAAAGCAGCATGCACCGATGGAGCCAGCATAAATCGCGTCAGAAGCAACTGCGTTACAGCACGAAAAAAAAATATAACGGCACGAGCATGAATCAGAGCTGAAGAAAATAAATTTACTGTGACGCGTGGTGGACTAATTGCTCTTAGAACTCAGAGCGTTCAAAGTGCGACGAGTTTATGGATGGAGAATGTGTGTACACGTGTCAGTGCGTGTTTGCCGTGTGTCTATCAGCACCCCTAACAAGGGGTCAACATCGAGGGAATTCCCGGTGAAAAATTGCAATAAACAAAACGAGTTGCAGGCGCGTGCGGCACGAAGGGAACATCGACAAGGAGAGCCAAAGGGCCGTCCCACTGAGCTCCACCAGGTGTTCTGCACGACACACCTGGGTGACCCCGCTCATCACGCCGACATTTACTGCTTGGTTACAGTGAGCGTGGAGGCTGTGCGTGCCTGCAATGCCCCAGCACTGTGGAGGCAAAGGTTGGTGCACCAAGCAGAGTTTGCGTGAAAACTCCCAAACTCGCCGAGCTCTGGGGTCGTGGCCGGGAGATGGGCGGCACAACGAGCCGATACGTGAGTCCCTGCGTGTGGATCTTTGTTATCCTCTCACATGTGTGGAGGGTTTTCCCCGACTTCCGCGGTGTAAAAACACTCGACTCGAAAGCAGGCGGCCAAACATGGTTACGCGGGACGCTACTGAAAAAATAGTCTTTGAGATGCGGCGAGGCCTTCGTGGATGAATAAACTACGGTCAAGTCTCACGAGGGATGAGGGCCCGTGGCGGTGGTGAACGACGGAGCTACAACCGGAGGAGTGAACAAGCCTTGCCTGATGATGATATTCGTGGGATCAGTCAATGTCTCAAATGTCTGACTCGTGCTATGATGCCAAAATCTGGGTTTTTATTCTGCAGGACCACTGGATTGTGGTGGACACGAACAAGTGGTGTTGTCCACCCTTCCTCCCACTCGCCTATCTATCATCCTTTCCTTGTCCCCCCTTCTAGGCCTTCTTCTCCAGTCCCGTCCCTCTACACAATCGGTATCACCAACCCCACCTGCACAGCCTCTATCATCTGTACTATAACACTGCCTGCAACACCAACACCACCAATACAACCCACACCGCTCACACCTCCCACACCACTCACACCGCCCACACCCCCAGAGCGCACGTACCTGCCAGCATCGACTCCAGTGATGTAATGAAAGTCGCGACCTGCGAGTGGGAGCAGCCAGCTGACTTGAGCAAACCCGCGATGAACTCCACCGCACTGCCAATCTCGGACTTCATCTGCACACGCGGGCACGTACACAACATGCTTGTCAACACACAGACACGTGTACGCACTCATGTCAACACACAGACACGTGTACGCACTCATGTCAACACGGGCACGTGTACGCACGCATGTGAACACGCACTCGTGTGGTGAAGAGGTTAGCACATTGCACGACAAACCCGTCGACCTGAGATTCATTCCCGTTCATGTTGCTAGCGAGTAGCTATTAAGGCCACCACAGCGCACAAGACATGGTGTGGCCAGAACCACGCCCCGGCCGCTTTTGTCTCTCCGGCGGCGATGTTTATACACTACAGACCGAGCCGACCTAGGGGAGTCCCAGAACCGGCTCAGATGATCGTCACCGGTGTTGGCCGTGAGCGGGAATCGAACTCGGGTCGCCGGGTTCGCAGCGCAGCCTGCTGTACTGCTACAATATGTGCACGCGCACGCCGATACACAAAGACACATTCATACACAAACACGCCACTGTACCGACACACAAAGACCCCTACCAGCTGCCAGTGCCCGCAGCCATAGGTCAAGTGCTGTTGGGGAGGGGGTGAAGGGGGGGGGCAGGGCTGTCTCTCTCTCTTCTGAGATGGGTGGGTGGTGGGCCGAAGCGTGGATACCTTCATGTCTCCTCCTCCACCCCCCCACCACACACACACCCACCTCCCCTGTCTTTGTGTGAGTGCAGTCACATATTTGCAAAGATATAATAAAGACAGCTGACTAGGGGCACTTAAAGAGGCGAATCGCGGGACTATTGTCCTGCACTATAGACCGGCGGTGGTGATAACACCACCACCATACCACACCACAATAAACACACCACAACACCACCACATACCACAACAATACACCATAGGATAATTGGTTCTTTACCCTTCTATCTGGCAACAAAACTGACACCTTTTTACAAGGAGTCATGTTTGCATAGACCGCAATACCTGCAGTCATAATACAAACAAAAGAACATAACTCTGATAATGTGCACTGTCCTTGAAGTTGATTGGTCCACACCCGAGACAGCTTTCCTTAGAGCCTAGTCTCATATGGGTTGGACCAGATGACGCCAAAAGGCGTCATCTGGTCTGCAGATGACGCCTTTTGGCGGTCTATGCAAACATGACTCCTTGTAAAAAGGTGTCAGTTTTGTTGCCAGATAGAAGGGTAAAGAACCAACTATCATATTTTTACTGGCAAATGAGGTTCCCATAGAATACACCATAGCACCACCACATTACTACACGACATAACACAACCCCAGAACACCACCACACACAATCACACCACCCACACCCCACAATAAATACACCATAACAACACTACATACCACAACATTACACCATAGCACCACCACACAACATAACACCACCACACAATACAACCACACACAATAACACCACCGCACCCCATAAAACCACGACACACAATGGTACCACCACACCCCACTACACAAAATAATTCAATGACATACAATAACACCACTGTACACCATTACACCACCATAAAACCATAACACGGCAATTTGCGTAAGCAAACCTCGACTCTGCTGATGAGACATTGAATGTCAAACCGGTTCAGTTTGCTCGTGTTGAACAAATGCTGAAATGATGCCCTCCCCGAATGCCGCGATTGATGGGATGTGTAAAAAATATATATAAATATTCTTACGTGGAGGGGCCGATATGTGAAGATGTAGTCTGCTTATTTATGGTCTTCCAATATACTCCACGAAGCGACTGATTCTTTGGTGTTGTGCATTTTATAGAGAACGTCGCTGCTATCGACCATGTCACATCTCCAGATCATGTCACTACTAGAGGCCTTGTTATTGCTATAGATCATAACACTACGAGAGGCCTTGTTACTGTTATAGACTATAACACTACAAGAGGCCTTGTCACTGTTATAGACCATAACACTACTAGAGACCTTGACACTGCTATAGACCATAACACTACTTGAGACTTTGACACTGTTATAGACCATAACACTACAAGAGGCCTTGTCACTATTATAGACCATAACACTACTAGAGACCTTGTTACTGTTATAGACCATAACACTACTAGAGACCTTGACACTGTTATAGACCATAACACTACTAGAGACCTTGTTACTGTTATAGACCATAACACTACTAGAGGCCTTGTTACTGTTATAGACCATAACACTACTAGAGGCCTTGTTACTGTTATAGACCATAACACTACTAGAGACCTTGTTACTGTTATAGACCATAACACTACTAGATGCCTTGTTACTGTTATAGACCATAACACTACTAGATGCCTTGTTACTGTTATAGACCATAACACTACTAGAGGCCTTGTTACTGTTATAGACCATAACACTACTAGAGGCCTTGTTACTGCTATAGACCATAACACTACTAGAGACCTTGTTACTGTTATAGACCATAACACTACTAGAGGCCTTGTCACTGTTATAGACCATAACACTACTAGAGGTCTTGTTACTGTTATAGACCATAACACTACTAGAGGCCTTGTCACTGTTATAGACCATAACACTACTAGAGGCCTTGTCACTGTTATAGACCATAACACTACTAGAGGCCTTGTTACTGTTATAGACCATAACACTACTAGAGACCTTGTTACTGTTATAGACCATAACACTACTAGAGGCCTTGTTACTGTTATAGACCATAACACTACTAGAGGTCGTGTTACTGTTATAGACCATAACACTACTAGAGGTCTTGTTACTGTTATAGACCATAACACTACTAGAGACCTTGACACTGCTATAGACCATAACACTACTAGAGGCCTTGTCACTGTTATAGACCATAACACTACTAGAGACCTTGACACTGTTATAGACCATAACACTACTAGAGGCCTTGACACTGTTATAGACCATAACACTACTAGAGGTCTTGTTACTGTTATAGACCATAACACTACTAGAGGCCTTGTTACTGTTATAGACCATAACACTACTAGAGGTATTGTTACTGTTATAGACCATAACACTACTAGAGGTCTTGTTACTGTTATAGACCATAACACTACTAGAGACCTTGACACTGCTATAGACCATAACACTACTAGAGGCCTTGTCACTGTTATAGACCATAACACTACTAGAGGCCTTGACACTGCTATAGACCATAACACTACTAGAGACCTTGACACTGTTATAGACCATAACACTACTAGAGACCTTGTCACTGTTATAGACCATAACACTACTAGAGACCTTGACACTGCTATAGACCATAACACTACTAGAGGCCTTGTCACTGTTATAGACCATAACACTACTAGAGACCTTGACACTGCTATAGACCATAACACTACTAGAGGCCTTGTCACTGTTATAGACCATAACACTACTAGAGACCTTGACACTGTTATAGACCATAACACTACTAGAGACCTTGACACTGTTATAGACCATAACACTACTAGAGACCTTGTCACTGTTATAGACCATAACACTACTAGAGACCTTGTCACTGTTATAGACCATAACACTACTAGAGACCTTGACACTGCTATAGACCATAACACTACTAGAGACCTTGACACTGTTATAGACCATAACACTACTAGAGACCTTGACACTGTTATAGACCATAACACTACTAGAGGCCTTGTCACTGTTATAGACCATAACACTACTAGAGACCTTGACACTGTTATAGACCATAACACTACTAGAGACCTTGTCACTGCTATAGACCATAACACTACTAGAGACCTTGACACTGTTATAGACCATAACACTACTAGAGGCCTTGTTGCTGTTATAGACCATAACACTACTAGAGGCCTTGTTGCTGTTATAGACAATAACACTACTAGAGGCCTTGTTACTGTTATAGACCATAACACTACTAGAGGCCTTGTTGCTGTTATAGACCATAACACTACTAGAGGCCTTGTTACTGTTATAGACCATAACACTACTAGAGGCCTTGTTACTGTTATAGACCATAACACTACTAGAGACCTTGACACTGTTATAGACCATAACACTACTAGAGACCTTGACACTGTTATAGACCATAACACTACTAGATGTCTTGTTACTGTTATAGACCATAACACTACTAGAGACCTTGACACTGTTATAGACCATAACACTACTAGAGACCTTGACACTGTTATAGACCATAACACTACTAGAGGCCTTGTTACTGTTATAGACTATAACACTACTAGAGGCCTTGTTACTGTTATAGACCATAACACTACTAGAGGCCTTGTTATTGCTATAGACCATAACACTACTAGAGGCCTTGTTACTGTTATAGACCATAACACTACTAGAGGCCTTGTTATTGCTATAGACCATAACACTACTAGAGGCCTTGTTACTGTTATAGACCATAACACTACTAGAGGCCTCGTCCTGTTATAGACCATAACACTACTAGAGGTCTTGTTACTGTTATAGACCATAACACTACTAGAGGCCTTGTTACTGTTATAGACCATAACACCACTAGAGGTCTTGTTACTGTTATAGACCATAACACTACTAGAGGTCTTGTTACTGTTATAGACCATAACACTACTAGAGGTCTTGTTACTGTTATAGACCATAACACTACTAGAGGCCTTGTTACTGTTATAGACCATAACACTACTAGAGGCCTTGTTACTGTTATAGACCATAACACTACTAAAGGTCTTGTTACTGGTATAGACTATGTCACTGGTATAGACCCATGACATTGTGCTATTCGGCTACCTAGAAATGTCCTCAAACTGTTAAATCAATTATGTAAACTTAGCAGCACATATTATGTTTGTGTACGGACTCTAGAGATAAGGTATGACTCAAGGCAAGACTCTCTTTAAAACAGACTCACTTTCTGGCTTCCTGGGTAAAATGACTCACCGACGTTATGATTAGAACAAGAGTTGGGTGACGACAAAGCCTTTGCCATTGCAACTCCAACTTATTGGAACAAGCTTGCTTCCCTCCATTAACATTGTAAATATTCCTTTAAAAAAATATCCTGAAGATTTGCTGCTGCATACAGCCACATTTTCAAAGCGTGATTTAGTAACTCTGATCCTTCACCCATGTCAACATCATCATCATCACGATCCATGCATGGGCATACCACCCCGTAGGTTCATACTCTTTGATTTTTTTCGGTAAAGTCACGTAAGTAAAAATTAAAATAAATGAAAACAACTAAATTAAATCCCGACGTTTCGGGCGCAACACAAGCATCCGTTTTAAAACAGTCTGCATCAGGAGCAGCAGGCCATGCTTTCCCACCTGATGACGGACGCTTGTGTTGAGCCCGAAACGTCGTGATTTAATTTAGTTGTTTTCATTCATTTAATTTATTTTTTACCCACGTGACTTAACCGAAAAAAAAACAAAGAGCATGAATCGTTGCAGTCACGAAAGCTTCAAATCTAGAATTAACCCCGTAGGTGTCCACTGCACATTTCGTAATTTGTCTCCACGTCCCGCTTGTCTTGTGCCAATTTGCTCAAAGAAGTGCGCCACCATCTTTTCTTGGCACCGATCTCCTTGCGTTCTCTCTGTGAAGGTCTTCATCGCTTCCTTCCATTTATCGCGTCCCGAGAGCGACATTTTAACGTGCAATTTTATTGAGGGGTGGTATCGTTGCCGTTGTTGTTATTCTTGGTGTAGTCTAAGACTTGTTAGTGTTTCGATTTAAAGCTTTCGTGACTGCAGGGATTCATCATAAAGTCACGTAGAAGGGAAATAAAACATAATAAAATTATTCTCACGACGTTTCGGCCACAACGCAAGCAGTCGTCCTCAGGTGAAGAGCAGGTCTGTCGGAAAGACAGCGTCCGAATGACCTATTCTTCACCTGAGGACGGCTGCTTGCGTTGTGGCCGAAACGTCGTGAGAATTATTGTATTGTTTTATGTTTATTATTTTATTATTTCCCTGCTACGTGACTTTACCGAAAGAACCAAGAAGACTTGTTAGTGTTATTTAATTTTTGTTAATTTTTTATTTCCCTTCTACGTGACTTTACCGAAAGAACCAAGAATATGAATCCCTGCAGTCACGAAAGCTTCAAATCGAGATCTAAGCCTTGTCGTTTTGCTGGCCTTGATCTCGCTTGCATTTTTAGTGTTGAAAAATCGGCAAGAATGTACTCATGCACTTTGTTTTTACTGTACTCATCCTCCTTCTTCCACGCGTTTGCCCCACTCATGTGCAGTGTTCCCACCGTCATTGCCAACCTCATCCACGTAGCCCTGTCACTGTCCCATCTTTCTTTCCACTCCTCTGGCCACCACCATGTTCAACCGCACCACATCGCCACCTCATCTTCTGCCTTCCTCTTTATCTCTTTCCTTCCACTTGCATCACTTGCACCTTCTGACCCACAGAATTGTATTTACTGTACCGTTACTACTTTATTTCTCATTTCTTTGCTTTTCGTGACTTGCTCACATTTTCTCTAGTTTCGCACTCCTATCGTGTTGTTTATATTGTTTGTTGTTGTTGATGTTGTAACTTGCTAACCCGTCCCATACTGGACGTGTCAAGAATAGCTTCATGGCGAATCGGATTCCCCCTCCAGTTTCAATAAAGATTCTGATCTGCATTGTTGACCAGCACCATTATTACCCGCAAATGTAGACGCAACATACATACACACACACGTAACTTGCTTGTATAGCTATTTGCCAAGCTACTTTCAGACGGTAAAAACATTGGTTTGTCGGGCAATATTTTACAACGTTACATTCGTTGCACTTCTATCGCACCGTACGTAAGCCAACTCGTGCCAATCGGTGGTCATGCAGTGGCATGCAGTGGCGCCGTTCGGGGCATTGTGAACCCCATCTGTGCGGACATTTGAGTGTTTTTTTTGTTTACCCCACCGCCCCCCCTTGGATGCCTGACGGGGCTTTCTGAAACCACACGGAGCCATTTGCAGTAGCAGGACCCTCCTCAAAAGCTGCCTTGATCTCAGAGCCAGTGAAGAATTTGCCATTGTACAGCCTCCCCCTGTTGTGCATTGCACCGCTTGATAAAGTCAACAAAAAACCCCTCCACCCACGCTGTATCAGAGGTGTGGGAGTTTTTTTGACCATACTTCACCACGCTGGTCAGTGCAAGGGTGAAGATAGTGGGGAGAGTGGGGGGGGGGCAAGCAGCAGGCCCCCCCTGGTTCGAACGTGTCACTCGCCACTCATGTGAGCCGACAAGGTTGCGGTGGGTTCATCATCACGGCCGTGAACGTACACACGGGGGCACTAATCACTGCGCCACCGCTCCACCCACACTACTCTTGAGAAATATATAATGAAAATAAACTCCGCGCTCCATTTTGTTTACAATCGCAAAGACGTACCCCACCCCCCCTACATCGCCTTTGTCCGCACGTGCGCACGTTACCGTGACGGGACCAGGTCCATCCGTGCCCCAGCAAGCGGCCACAACCCCCCTTCACACGACAATCACAACCACCGCTTGAGTGGTCACGAAACTAACTGGTGGTGGTGGTTGTGGTAGGAGCGTTGCTCGCAGTCGTATTACATACGGTGGGCATTTTGTTGAGCTTTAGGCAAGTGATGGTGATGTTGATGGGTGGATTTTGGTTGGTGATGTTTACTCTTGATGGGTGATGTTGGTGATGGTGCTCATCGTATTATCTTTGTTTATGGCGCGGTGGTGGTTATAGGAGTTTAAATCAGTACACACTGGCCAATAAAACACAATAGACACACACGAGACACAACACGAAACAATGACCAACAACACAACGTGAACACGATAGACACGATAACAGACGTGACACAAAGAGCTAAGGTAAATAGCTCATGCAAAAACACAATGCAACACAACAACAACAAGCCCACATACATAAGACACACACCAAACACAACAATCAAGGGATACACAAAAATACAAAAACACAATAACCATCACACGACCACAAAGACAACGCTCCCCTGTGTAGCCTACACGGAATGTTGGGATAGGTGTTGCCAGCTAGCACCTACAAGTATGATATATACAGTTTAACACGTAGGCTTATTATGACTTATATACACAACCTACACCACACACAATAGCGCACACACAAACCACGCACATATACAACCGACGCCACACAATAGCACAACAACAATCACAACAACCAACACACTAACAACCAACGCCACACAATAGCACAACAACAACCACAACAACCAACACTAACAACAACCAACGCCACAATAGCACAACAACAACCAACACATTAACAACCAAAGCCACACAATAGCACAACAACCACAACAACCAACACACTAACAACAACCAACGCCACACAATAGCACAACCACAACAACCAACACACTAACAACAACCAACGCCACACAATAGCACAACAACCACAACAACCAACACACTAACAACAACCAACGCCACACAATAGCACAACAACCACAACAACCAACACACTAACAACAACCAACGCCACACAATAGCACAACAACCACAACAACCAACACACTAACAACAACCAACGCCACACAATAGCACAACAACCACAACAACAAACACACTAACAACAACCAACGCCACACAATAGCACAACAACCACAAAAACCAACACACTAACAACAACCAACGCCACACAATAGCACAACAACCACAACAACCACAACAACCAACACACTAACAACAACCAACGCCACACAATAGCACAACAACCACAACAACCAACACACTAACAACAACCAACGCCACACAAACCACACAAAAACACCACACAATAAAAAAATTGTAAATGTTGTGGATTTACTCTCCGCTGGGCTGAAGTAAACTAATTGTCGCGTTTTGTTGACGTGACAAACCTTACTGGCTGTGTTGGGTGGTGGAGAGTTAACGACACAATATTTATACTTAACGCGATCTAACCCCTACTCATGAACCAAAATAACACACGGACACAATAGGACAGGACACACAACAAAAACCGCACAATAGCACAGCAACACACCACACTTTCACATCACACACAACACCACAACAACAACAACCACAACACAATAGTACAGCAACACACAACAGCACATTAACATACAATGACCAACACCACACTTTCACATCACACACAACACCACAACCACAACACCACAACAACAACAACAACCACTTTAACACGACGACACAGATAATCATTGCCCGTGCACACAAAGACCCAACACCACACTTTGACATCACACACAACACAACAACAACCGCACAATAGCACAGCAACACACAACAGCACATTAATACACAAAGACCAACACCACACTTTCACATCACACACAACACAACAACCACAACACCTGCAACAACAACCACTGGAATTCATTGCCCGTGCACACAAAGACCAACACCATAATTACACATCACACACAACACCACAACCACAACACCACAACAACAACCACTTTAGCACTTAGCACAGGCAATCATTGCCCGTGCACACAAAGACCAACACCACAACAACACCACAACCACACAACACCACAACAACCACTTTAACACGACGGCACAGGCAATCATTGCCCGCGCACACAAAGACCAACACCACACTTTCACATCACACACAACACCACAACTACAACAACACCACAACCACACCACAACACCACAACAACATCACAACAACAACAACCACAGGCAATCATTGCCCGTGCACACAAAGACGACCACCACCCCCCAGCACCACTCACTCTCATGGAGGACTCCTTTGGTGGCAGCCTCAGCGTCCGCGTCTCGATTCTCCGCGATAAACACCGAGCCCCGGACGAGGACGACGACAACAACAACTGCTACTAATCACCCACAAGCGAATTGACATGTAAAACAAAAATCAATGTAATCGACACGAGAAAAAAAAATACCCGAGATATTTTTTTTTCTTCTAAAAACAATTCCAATTATTTTTCCCACCGAAAAACAACCTCCTTAAATTAAAAGCAAATGTACGACGAGAGGGTTGTGTTAAACTAAAAAATGGGGATATTTATCGATGGCGAAGACGACGAGGAATAAGAGAGAGAGCGCCTTGGCAGCGAGCTCAGAGCCCTCCTCCCACTGACAACAACAACAACAACCCGGGGGGGGGAGGGGGCGGGTGACGTGACGTCAATCGGTGGGGGGAGGGCGTGACGTTAACCACAGGAAAAACTGGGCCGCGTGACGTCACCGAACGAGTAGGCCCGCGTGACGTTTACAGCCGAGAATAAGGGGGCGCGTGACGTCAAACTGCTGGAGTAAGCCCGTATGACGTTGTCTCCACGAGAAATAAGGGGGGCGTGACGTCATCTCGCAGGAGTAAGACCTATGACGTTGCCCCCCCCCCAGAAAAAGCTGTGTGACGTCATCCTGCGGGAGTAAGACCTATGACGTACCGACGGGAAGAAGGGCCGCGTGAGGTCATTTACGCAGTGAGAGCGCGAGTCAAGGCAGCCTGTGCAGACGGTCTCCTGCGTGACGTCATCCAGAGAGTAAAGGGCACGTGACGTCACGCTGTGGAGAAGGTGGTCGAGTGAGGTCACCCCGGCAGTCAAGTTCGCGTGACGTCACCCCATGTGGGGGCGGTGGCGGCGTGACGTCACCTCCGGGGAGGCCCGACCAATCGTAGGGCGGGATGACCACAACACGCGGTGACGCGCGCGGGAGTTGAGCACGTGACTTCCGGCTATGCACCCTCCCCCCCCCCTCAACTTGTCACCCTCCCGCCCAGCACAGATCCGATTCGATTCCTTAAGACTTTGTTTGGATTCGACTGTGTTCCATTGTTTTCTGTTGGGAGTATGTCGATTACAGCGCTGATCGATTCTTTTGAAGCGATTACTGTAATCGCATCGACGTAATGCTGCTGCTGCTGCTGTGTTGGTAAGGGGAGCACAAATCACGCAAAACTCAACGTCCCGGGCAATGGCCCTTCATAGAGCACGAAGAAGGGGCATTGCGCGAAACGTCGTCTTTTTGTTTCCTTGTAAGGCCACACAGTGTTATTGGCGAAATTGTTGAGTGTTTTATTTTGATTCGATTGCAGTACATTGATGACACGCCATAACGTCTGTGAAAAAACGCTTTGTAGCTCATCGGTTTTCTCCAGTATGAATAAATATTCTGATTCAATGGTCAGCAGCGCCATCAACAACTCAGCTCGTCGTGGCGGCAGCAGGCTTATGCTGAGTGAACTGCAGTTCAGTTCTTTGAATTCAAATCTTTGATAAATCCAGTAACGCACAAACACGAGACGACAATAATGTGAAATACATTGGCAAATTCTAGATTTGAAGTTTTCGTAACTTTTTTTTCGGTAAAGTCACCTAGGTAAAAAATAAAATAATTTATTTATACTTAAAAATAAAATAAATTTATGTAATTTTTAAAATAAAAAAAGTTAATTTAATACATTTTATTTTAAAAATTAATTATAATTTTATTAATTTTTAAAATAAAAGTAATTTATTTATTTTTAAAAGAAAATTACTTAATTAATTTTTTTATAATGAAATAAAAAATTTATTTTATATATTTTTAAAATGCATACTCTTTGGTAAGTATAAAATAAATTATTTTAATAGCAAAAAAATATTTATTTATATTTTTTTGGCAAAGTTAAACAGACTAATATCAACGTGTAATCGTGATACAGTATCGTGGAAATGTAATGTCGCATAATTGAACATATATATCGTGGGGGAAAAAAGTGCAAGCGACAGCGCCGCCTGCCGTTCCACCAGGGGTTCGAGTCCCGGCTAACATCAGTGGCGAGTGATTAGTGATCGCTCGTGATGTCAGTTCAGTTCATTTATTAGGATTTACCCCGTGAGTCATTCGGCTCTTGATTTGGGTTCAACCGCAACAAACAATATAATTACAAGATACACCTAAAATTAATTGTACACAAATCTAAACATCACATACGTAAAAATAAAATCCTACAGAAAAAGCACAACCCGTCCATGCTGTGGCCAACCCCACTTTAACCAAACCGCGCTGATCAAACAATCCCCATTGACCCAGGACCAAATTCTCATGTCACAGAAACAATTCCAAATTCGAAGGCGTTGCTGATCGCCTGCTGCAGGCAGTCTCTCTTCCACATCAGCGCCTCCCTCCAGCAGATTCATCGCTGGCTCCGTTGTCCAATTCTACAACCACATCAAGTTCTCTCTGGGTCACCCTCGACTCCACCTTCTTATCCTTCGACACACACAGCAACCACAAGCTTAGTGATCTTGCGACAACCACCATCAGGGTGTGGTCACGGAACTCTTCTTGCAAATCTGTCCTTGTGGTGATCTTCAACAAGTAAAATGTGATGGGACCTTTTTTTGTTCTGCCGGTATCAAATTGATGGAAAAAAAAATTAACCCGTAAAAACAAAGTTTTTCACTATAAATCCTTTATATGCGTGGCGGCTAGAGTCCTCTCGTCCTCTGGCTTGAGATGGCTGCCACCTATGGGTTAGATGATTGCTTGCCACCATTAAGCAATTGGTAATTACATATAATTTATTTTTCCTAAAAAGTGTAAAATTTTGGAAAAAAAATTTCACGAAAATTGTCACGCACAGCGAGTCTGTGTGCAAAATGTCAGCTCGATTGGATCACGGGAAGTGGGTAAAAAAACGACCGAAAGATTTGCACGGTCGTAAGCGCGCAAGCAAGCAAGCAAGTGAACTTAATATAAAGGATTTTAAAATAGAACAGGATTTACCCTTTCCGGCAAGAACACAGGTCCATAATAGAGGTTCTTGGGTGAGATCGCGTAAATATGTGTCGTTAAACCCGCCGCCACCCGACACAGCCAATTAGTAAGGCTTGTCACGTAAACAGAACGTGCCAATTCGTTACTAGTACAGCACACCGGTGTGTTGGAGATTAAATCCACAACATTTACAATTCGAGTACGACGTTTCGCCAGTAATTACAGCTAGCATCATCAGGCGACAGCCAGCAGAAGCTCCATTATGGATAATATTGGTCGCGAAAGGCTACTTGTTAAAGAATGCATGTGTTGAGATAAGATGTTCAAACACCATATAGACACCTATAACAAGGCATCAAGTCTGCATTAAGCACATACGCGTGTGGTAAAACGTGCAAATGTGGGCCTTACCTGGTAAAATAAAAACTCGGTTACAGTTTCGTCCGCCAATACTGAATTGATGTTTTTTGGTCTTTCGTTTGTGTTATTGCTACGCTCACACATCACGGCAATTGACTAAACTAGACCATCCGTGTAACAAATCAAGTGAATCTTCTTGGTTCTTTCGGTAAAGTCACGTAGAAGGGAAATAAAAGACGCTGTCTCCCCGACAGACCTGGTCTTCACCTGAGGACGGCTGCTTGCGTTGTGGCCGAAACGTCGTGAGAATTATTTTATTGGTTTATTTTAATTATTTTATTATTTCCCTTCTACGTGACTTTACCGAAAGAACCAAGAAGATGAATCCCTGCAGTCACGTAAGCTTTAAATCGAAGTTTAAATCAAGTGAACTCAAACTCAATCTTCTCGTACAGTCACGATGTGTCCGGATTAACTTTTCTTCATTGTCAATCAATGCGACGACCACCTGTGATTTTGGTTCCCTGAGCCATGTGCTCCTCTCTCCGTCTCTTAGCGTAATTGCAAAGAACCATCATCAGCATCGCGTAGCTGTCAACCCAGACGGTTTACCCCGTATTCTTTTACAGGGAAATTGGGGTTTCAGGTCCATACGGCGTCCAGCCGTTTCAATACGGGCAAAAAATTGTGTATGTTTGTGTTTATCCCTTGTGATGGGACGTTGTAGGATGAACGTTGAGATGTATAAGGGCACGGGGTGACCAATAAGGTCTGAATTGGTCTGTAATAAGATAGGCACCGATAAGGGGGTGACAGGTATTATTATAGACAGATACCCATATAGATCCATAGAGAGCCACAGAGATGCATAGAGATTCATAGATATACATAGAGACCCATAGAGATACATGAATATAGCATACATGCAAACCCATACGGTTTACCCCGTATTCTTGCACAGGGAAATTGAGTTTTCAGGTCCATACGGTGTACAGCCGTTTCAATACGGGCAAAAAAATGTTTTATTCGTTTGTGTTTCTCCCTTGCGATGGGACTTTGTAGGATGAACGTTGAGATTTATAAGGGCACGGGGTGACCACTAAGGTGTGAATTGGTCTGTAATCAGGGAGGGCACTGATAAGGGGTTGACGGGTGTGTGAAGGCCTTGACCAATCCAGGGCTGGAACAAAGCTTCCCCCCAAGCCGTTGCCACAATGTCAACGTCATTATCATCACGGTCATCATCATCCCATCGGTACTGGAAGTTGCATTGGAAATGAAATAATAATTTGCATTCGTGAGACGCATTTCAACGTATTACTTATTCATATTTATTGACTTGCTTACCATTTTCTCAATGTTGCACTCCTAATCGGTTGTTTTCGCATTGTTTGCTGTTGTAACGCGTTGACCCACCCGTATTGGACATCTGTGAAAAAGAGCTTCATGGCTCATCGGATTCCTCCCGCAGTCTAAATAAAGGTTCCGATTCTGATACAGATACCGTTGCGCCGTGCATGGAAAGCAGGAAATAAACTGAACCACAGGGTAAAGGGCCAGAACTAGGTTGGGGTGGGTTGGGGTGGGTAAGGCCAATTTAAAGTCGCGGGTTTTCAAGACACACTGATGTAACCCGAACGGCATTGATCGTCTTATGAGCAAAGGAAAAGCAGCGTCCCATAGTCTGGGAGGCGCACAGTGGCAAAAGCCCGGTCACCCCAGGACGTGAGCGTTGACCCGAGAGTACTTAGAATAAGACGATCCGAAGACCTCAGTGACCTCGTTGGCGTATAAAGACGTAGCAGTTCCTCTAGAATTATTCAGGGGTGGGGAATGTCCTGCCCGTGGGCCGTATAAGGCCCGTGAAATCATTTGGTGTGGCCCTGCCAAGCCAACCGCAGGCGGGACTCGAAATTCAATAAATCTAGGAGCAAACCTGGAGCAGCAGTTGCGAGTAGCAACATCGTCAATGCCAGCTAACATCACACGCCTCGCCAAAGAGAAGCAGTTCCAGCCA